AGTTGTGTTGGTGTGTTAGATAAACCTCCATGGAGATGCAAAACACTAGCTTCAACTAAAAAGGCACAGTGCAAATGAAAAAAACAAAAACAGCTCTCGTTCAACTAAATTATCTAACTGTATATTTTTACTTTAATACTCGAATGTTTAACTTGTTACATAGCTTAGAAATATTTATTATTTTTTACCCTTTTTGCATTTTATGTAGATTTTAACTTTATTTTCTATTTTCTAGCATTTATTAAACCTTAGTACTTTATGTAATATTTTGGCGGATTTAACGCAGGAATTTTCCAATTACACCTTAAATCATCTTATCTTATTTTATTATATACAGCTATCAACCTTATATGTGTATATAATACCCTGTGTGTTTCACTCTCTGTGTGTTTACACACCAGTCAGTGTTTAATCATTAGTTATCGTTAATCTCTGGCTCTTTTTCTCAGCGTGTCTTTTTTCCTGTCTCCCTGCCCTCACCGCCAACCGGTCGTAGCAGATGGCTGCCCCTCCCTGAGCCTGGTTCTGTTGAAGGTTTCTACCTGTATAAAAGGAGACATTCCTTTCCCACTGTAATCAAGTGCTTATACAATATTAAGTTCCTTGAGTTGAGTGTTGTTGTAATTTGGCGCTATATAAATATAACTGAATTGAACTGACAAGAATACACAGCTACAGGCTATATATAGCAGACTGAGGAGTGATTATTTGTCTCCAAGCAGGCTATGAAGTGAACCGCTCCTCCCGTTAAAAACAGAACATTTAAGAAGAGTGAGGTACTCTTTGAAGACAAAATAAACTGTCAAATCTAAAAACTAAAAATAGCTCACACAGCCGACTTGATACTTTGATCTAATTCTCAGGGAGGCTGCTGTTTTTATAATCTGTGGTCATGTTCTTTTTCCCCCCCTTCTTAAACATGTAAAACTGCACAGCAGAAACCACAAGCCCACAGACATATTTCCTCTTTGTAAGTGTTGCAGCGTTAAAAAAGAAAATATTCTCACACTAAAATACAAGTTTAAGAATGGCCACGCTAAAAGAAGTGTCATCTGTGACAAAGGTAAAACAACACACCACCACCATCATCATCATCTGACTTCTGTTAAGCAATTCTAGGCAAGAAGCAAGTCTTCTCGGGAATGTTGTTGCTGACAGCATGATCAGACAGAAAATAGCAGGACTGAAAGGTAATTTGACCTAATTTCACTCACTGCCAGTGGACTGGATTCGAGTGGATTGACCCACCTTATTACACGTGTAAGCTCTGTGCACTTTGTTTGGCAGCAACGCTGTGTTTATCAGACTCGTGGATGGATCATATTCTCTTGTCCAGCCTGGCAGGTTTACAGAAGGACATAAAAGAAGAGAAAGAGAAAGGAGAATGAGCGACGCGAAGAAGACGTGAGAGGAAACAGAGAGATTATTTCCTGGACACGTACCTAGACTTTGTGCTGGCATTTTTTTAATACTCATGATCTCACAATCATAGGAAACTGTTAAATGAGCAGGCGTGGCACTGATCGCGTTCTGCTGTGCCCAAGCAGGATGCAGTCCCAACATGTTACTGTATGCAAGCAGCCAGATTGCAAATTGCACCCTGAAGCAGGAGCTGACTTAAGTTGAGAGATAATATATCTTATAGAGCTGCATCATAAAAACTAAATGATTTAATTGCGTGTTTTATGATGGAAGATAATTTTAAAAGATCCGCTTCAGACAGCAGCACGTGACGACCCATCAATCAACAAACTTGAAAACTTACAGAAAAAGTACCCGACTCAGAAATGGAGAGGGGGGAAAATACAGGCACAATATACAACATTACATTACCAGCTCTGAGGTCGACCTAGAAGCGGGTTTCCTTGAAACTGTGTCCATGCTGTCGCTCCCATTTTTTCGTTTTTTTTCTCCTTTGTTTACAGGTAAGGACGTGGACTGCCTCACCTGCACCTCGCGCCCGC